ATTCGAATACTTTTTTGTGACAAAACATTTGAATTTATTTAGCTACCTACTACCTAGTTAGTTGAAACACAATTGGATTTCTGCTAATTCTGAAAATGCAAAAAAAAAAAAAATGGGGGGTGGTATCCACTGTGCATTTAAAAAGATAAGCTGTAAGAGAGATTTAATAAGATTATCATAAAGTCAAGCAATACACATTATGGTTCCTTATAACCTCTCACAAAAGTAAAAGCCATATGCTATTGGTCACATGGCCACGAGTCCAGAATTCAAGGGAATATATAGAATATTTAAGGCGAATATATTTCAAGACAGGAATGTCTATTTCACCACACACTGTCTCTCCTCTCAGCAAGCCGTGTGAGCCGGGAAGAGAAGGGTCGGGCGGAGCCAGGAGTGGAGGTGGATCCTAAGATAGAAACAGCAAAGAGAGCGGGACAGAGTGCACCGGGATGCAGCCTCCCTCTTGCTCCACCCTATCTAAAGCTAGTGGGGAAGCGCCAGTCTTATACTGCCAGATGAGCCAAGAAACCCCAAAGCTGTGATGGAGGAGAGGGACTGGGGGCAGGGTGAGGAATCGGCTAACTCTCCCATTCCACCTCAAGGCAGAGGGCCAAGCTTGAGGCCTGCGGCCGCCCACCACCCTGCGACCCTCGGCCTTAACCCGGAGAGTCCAGACACGCCAGATGCGGGGCGCATGCGCAATGTGCCGCTCCGCACGCAGCAGGGCCACCGCCCACCCCTCTGCCGCCTGCCTGCCACAGACTACGCCAGGCCCCACGCCGCCTCACGCCGGAGCAGGGCCTCGGAGCCCCGCAGCCACGGGTGCCGACCCCCAGGCCCTGGACGCGGGAATCACCTGGGTCCAGACCTTCGGGCTTACACCTCCAGATGATGTGCTAGCGCCGAAAATCTCAAAATGTTTCTTCAGATCAGCGCGCCGCCAGTGTCCACCGAACTTGCTACAGTTTAAGCTCAGCGCCTTCCTGGTTCCAGTGCCAGGCAGCCGCAGCCGAGCTATCGAGTGCATCGATGGAAGCTGCCAGACGATAGGAATGCCGAGAGAGTAGATTGTCAAGCAGCCAATTTTTTGTTTGGCGTTTGTTGGCGTGCTTGTTTAATTTGATTTTCTTGTTCCCAAAAAGCAATAAAGGTGGGACTGGAATATGTTATCCCCTTAGTAATCTTCGTTATCGTCACATATAATCAGCAAACAAATCTGCCTTGTAGGAAGTTATGTTTAAGACACCCATACATAGCAAAATTGGTTAGCTCATGCTGGAGGAGGGGGAAACTCGCCCAACAATAATAAATCATGGGATTGCGTCTGTATAGAGTCGTGTGTGATTAAATTGTAATGATTTATTTGCAAAAATGCATTAAAATTCGGTGTTTCTTCTGCCCTGAAGCTGAAGGCACTCTGGTTGGGTACAAATTAGTTTCTCAGATTATATTAACTGGTTAGGAGAGGAATAGGAGAAAGCTGCCAAGGTGGGGATAGGTTTCTTCTGAAAGAAAAATCAAACTTACAGAGTTTTTTTATTTCAATTAATAGAAATTAAAGAGATTCTGCATTTTCTAAATCATAGTGCATTATTTATTTTTCCTTGCATGAAAATTATTTTTTCTTTATTTACTATCAGTAAGCAAAGCTAAAGAGGTAAATAAATTGTTGAGACTGGTATGGGTGACTGAGAACCAACTCATTCACAATTGCTAGATAACCAAACTACAGTTTTCTGCAGACATTTTACATGGTGAAAATCACCTCCACAATATATTTTTCATAAATAATTGTACCTTAACTCTGCAATTTTGAGAGACCTTTTTAAAACTTAACTACAACACTACATGTTTATTTTAAACAATTCAATTTTAAACCATTCAAGAGCTGGGGGAACCCTTGGAGTCTAGAATTTTATTGGACCCTGTCCTCAGGCTGTCAGCTGAGCTTTACTCTCAATGCTTCTTACCAAAACTGTATTTTGAAATGTTTTGTTTCTGGAAAATATTTGCTGTTTAATGAAACAACACTGTTAGAACTTTGTGAGCATTTACTAGTACATGATTTTAAAACCTTAGATTTTTAAAACTAAACTTAAGCAAGTGGGAATCCATGGTCAGACACTAAGGATTTTTCATGGTTCCATCTGATATCAACACTGCTATACCTAAATATACAACGAGCCAATAAGCTGAGATCATGGGAAAACTTATTGGTTTGAATCACACAACAACTGTGTCTGAGACTTCCTTGATTATCTTTAAAGTGTTTATTTTTCCCTCAAGCTCTTTAGATTAAATATGAGTTCAGACCTAAAAGTCATGTACTTGAAAGAGCAAAGAAATAGCTGATGAGACTCCTGATCCTTTATCAGACTTCTTATAGTGGTTATTTTGGGGCTGTTAGTCAGTACGTATTTAACACCTCATTTTGAGAGCTCTTTGCACACCATATCTATTCATTCTGCTAAATAATCTTGAAAACAGATTTTCATAAAGGACTAAAGTTTTATGATTATTCCCTTCTGATAACATCAGAATTACAGTGGTTACATATAGTGAAATCATATTTGTTTCTAAATTCATATAACTTTGGAATGTTTGAGTATTTGAGTCTCTTTTGTGGTGTAATAAAACCAAAGCAAGTACTCATATAATTAATTAATACCTAAAATTTACTGCTATTGAAAACTTAAAGATCTTAACTCTCCTAAATGTAGCAAAAAATGAAATGTTTTAAGAAGATAACTTTAAGATAACTTTAGAGTACAAGAGAACAAAAGACAAAGCAACATCTCTAAAAAGCATAATTTCCATCCTTAAATTTACCAAATGTGAACATTTTAATCTGAGGTGTACTGTAGTATAACAGAAAGTTATATACAGCCTCTATTTACATATATTTGAGAAACCACTAATATATCAAGTTACTATTATGTTCTCTTTTTACAAGTGTTTCAGGTTATTTTGATGGAACTTCTTAAATTATCTAACTTTGTTTTGATGCCTTAACCAATGAGTGGAAGATCTACATATTAATGTTCTGTAATTGCTTTTATTTTTACTAAGACTGTTAGATCCAGGATAATGAACAAGTTACCTCTAACATCGGAAAGCCTGCGTTAATATTCAGAGCACTCAAAAATGTTCCCAAAGCCACACTTAAAGAGGTATATCTCTTTATCCACTCAAGTAAATACAACTTCCCGTATTTAAGTATTCTTTTATGAGTGTATATTTGCATAGCCACACTTCTCACAGCAAGCCCGGTCCTGCACAATACAGACTAATGACTCAGGAATATAAGGGTTCTTTCCATGTAACAATCTGTTCGATTAAAATACTCCAGAAATAGAATTTTAAATTGCGTGTGTGTGTGTGTGTGTGTGTGTGAGAGAGAGAGAGAGTCCTTTTGCTCCCCGAGAGCGTTCCTTTGAACAGCCCACAATAAATAAAATTAGATAGGACACAAACTTATAGTCGATTTTTTTTCAAACTCGAAGAGGGATAATCTCTTGTTTTTCAAAATTAAGAAATCAACTAAGATGTTTCTCAGGATGCTAAAGAAAAGCTCCTGTGGTTCTTCGTGGAGGAGTCGGGGTGCAGGGAGTTTCATGGAAGGTGGGTGAGAGTCCCGAGACCTCAAACAGGAAGCGAAGTGGAGCTGCTCTTGACCAGGCGCTAAGGAAACACTTTAAAATGAAATCTGTCAGGGGACAGCTGCTCTGGAAACGTGTTAAATCTACTGGCCCCTTCTAGCGGGGTCTGCTCATAGAGGAGTCTGCTTGAACTCCAGGATGCGAACAGTGGAGTGAATTATACGGGCTGGGGCGAGGAGCTCGGTGAAGACCTGGGCTCCCCTGGCTGCGGGTCGGGAAGCTCCTAAAAGGAGCTGCGCGAGTCGGAAAAGCTGCAGAGAACCCTGACTCTGAACCAGGATGCGAAGCCAGGTTGATGCCGGATGGAGGAGCTACGGCGGGGGCCGAGTTGGGGAAGCGAGCAGGGGATGCAGGGGAGAAGGGGCGGAGATGCAGGATTGGGATGCGGGGTCAGGATGCGGGAGTGGGGTGCGGGGCCTGTTAACTGCTGTGGGGCTGATGCCGGGCAGGGACCAGTGGCAGCCACGCGAAATCCAGCAATTGCGCAGCAGGCACCCTGACGCGGGGCAAAGCTGGAGGGTCGGATGCTGTGTCTGGATTCCCGACTGACTCCGGGAGCTGCGCACTTGTCAGTTTCCTTTTGGTCCCACCCCGCGGAGTCCATCCAGCTCCCCAGTGTTTAACTAAGTCGTGACACCAACGCAAAACCCACGCCTAATTAAATTAATTAGGGATTCTTGTCAATCCTGGATTAATGACCAAGAGCACAGGCGACCGAGGCTATCTGAAAACCCAAACGGCCAGGGACCGGCCGTCTCTCCCCGCCCCCTCTGGTCCCCCTGCGCTGCCCTCCCATTCCAGCCTCAGCCCGCCGGGACTCCAGCCTCAATCAATCTCAATCTCTCTCTCAATCTCTCCCTCTCTCTCTCTCCCTCTGCCTCTCTCTCTCTCTCTCTCTCTTTCTCTCTCTCTCTCTCTCTCCCCCCACCCCCAGGTAGTGGCGCAACTGCTGCTACCCGGGAAGGGGGCTCACTCGGAGTTGCAAGGGGAGGTAATTTACTCAGAACAAGGGGCCGCCTTTAGGAAGTATAAATAGTGAGACTTCAAGCGCAGCGTCGCTATCAGATCTGAACTCTCCGCAGGAAGAATTGTCAAAGATCTTAACATTGAACAAGCGTGCTCCGGCAGGGAAGCATCAGTTCCCATTTCCCTCCGGCGGCTCCCGCCCCTCCTCTTCTCCTCCTTCTCCTCCTCTTCCTCCTCCTCCTCCCCCTCCTCCTCTTCCTCCTCCTCCTCTTCTTACTTCTTTTTTTCTCCTTCTACTTCTCCTCTTTCTTCTTTCTTCTCCTCTTTTTCTTCTTCTTCCTCTTCCTTCCTCTCCTCCCCCACCTCCTGCCCCATTGATGTGTTATTATTGGGGGGGCTGGAGCAGTAAAAAAAGAAGAAGGAAAAAAAGAGCAGGGCTCAGCTGGGAGAGGTTGAGCGCGGGGCTGACGGGCGGCGGCGGCGATGGAAGAACTTACGGCGTTCGTCTCCAAGTCTTTTGACCAGAAAGTGAAGGAGAAGAAGGAGGCGATCACGTACCGAGAGGTGCTGGAGAGCGGGCCGCTGCGCGGGGCCAAGGAGCCCACCGGCTGCGCGGAGTCGGGCCGCGACGACCGCAGCAGCCCGGCAGTCCGGGCGGCCGGCGGAGGCGGCGGCGGAGGAGGAGGAGGCGGAGGCGGAGGAGGCGGAGGAGGTGCAGGAGGAGGAGGAGCAGGCGGAGGAGCTGGAGGAGGGCGCTCTCCCGTCCGGGAGCTGGACATGGGCGCTGCCGAGAGAAGCAGGGAGCCGGGCAGCCCGCGGCTTACGGAGGGTAACGGCCTGACCCCCGGCCGCGGTTCCCCTTCCCGCCTTCCTGACTCCTCTCGGGCGGGAGAGGACCCTGAGGCCCAGCCGGGAGGAGGGGCGGGACGCAGAAGGGCCCTAGACCCCAGCTTGGAAAGCTAGAGTGATAGTAGAGGGGTAGGTGTCCAGTGGTGTGCATGGTCGTGGGTGGGGTCCTAGTGTGTGTGTGGTAGGGGGGTGGGATGAGAGCATGTGGGGTTTGTGCGCGCCCTTCCCAGATGCTCGCATTCCACCGAAATGCATTTTTCACCAGCCGGATGGTGGGCCGGCAGCCGGGATGGCCCGCAGGCGGACGTGGAAGTTCGCGGGGCTGGCTACGGGAGAGGGTGCTGGACCGGGCGGCCGATTGAGGCTAGCATCTAGCGCCGAGTTTGCGGGAGCTTTTCCCTAGGCCTGAGAGAGAAGGGAAGAGGGAGAGAGAAAGAAGCTTCACCCTCAGGTCGCCCCAAGGTTTGGGACCGCCAAGATTCCTTGAACTCCACAAAGACTCGGAATCTTTGGATCTTAGGGGCCAAAACTTCCCATTCTCTTTGAGCTATGAAGGCAGAACTATCCAAGGCATGCTAAGGTTCAGGCTACGCTGCTTCTCCCTGGCAAGGCGTTGATGTTTCTTTTTGGTGGGTTGTTTTTCGATATTTATTGTTTGGAATCATCCAGTCCTCTGGTTTTGTAGAGGAAAAATCCTTTGATGCCAGCAAGGAGTTAGGATACGGCTTTATCTAAATGATAGAGCGTCTTATACCAATTCAAAAGAGTTCAACAATAAAATTAATTTGGCACTTGGTGCCTGCAGTAACTGGTGTACTGCCATATTTTTCCAATTAAGAAAATATGTGGCATGCGTAGAATCACATATTTAAGCAAGCAATTAAGTTGTTTATAACACGGTCTGTTCCTGTTTAGACCATTAAGTGGAAATTTGGGAACGAAATAGAGATTATATTAAGTCTATTAATCAACTTGATATTTGGGCATGTTTCTCTTTGAAGCCTCAAAAGTTTGAGGCGCATCCACTGTGTGGATGACAAGTAATAGACAAAGCCTTCTCACCCCTTTGGCAGAATCTGAAGGGTGTGTTTTCATATTTCAATTTCACTACAATATCAGTGGAAATATTTTCCTATTAAATTGGCCCCTAATGTTTATTGTAATATAATCCACTTCCTTCCTGAAGAAAGGACAAAATGTCCACAAAACGAACTCAGGAGAACTAGAAATGCGGGCAACACTTAAGATCACCGTAGTTAGAATGCCCCGCTGGAGTGAGATCTAGTGACTCTTCCTTCCCAGCCCTAACACCGGGTCCTCCTAAATTTGGAAAGTGATAGAGTAACTGTCAGGGAGCTCAATGCAGCCTTCCACACCATGAGCCCACAGCCCCAGGCCCTGGGTTCGCCAGTGCGCCTGACAGCTAAGTTAGGGTCTGAACCCCGGGCGCGCGCGGTTCCTGCAATTGTTGATTTCCAAGCTCTGGGCAGGTATTAATTTCTCTGCAGACCAGCTCTTCCCAGGAAATGATTTTTAACAACCATGCTGATTGGTATCCTACGCTGGGAAGACTGCAAACAGCCTCGACTATCCAAATTCAGCTTTGACACCTTAAAACCCCGAGTCTCCGACTTCGGCGCAGAGGATAAAGGTTCCAGGGGAACCTTACATTGATAGTCCCCTTTGGCTATATATATATATATATATATATTTATATACACACACAATACATATGCACACACACACCCCTCGGGTTGCTCTGTATACTCACACTAGCAGAGCTCCTGTTTTTAAAGGGAAGAGGACAGGAAAGTAGCAACGGATGTGTGCAAACCCAGAGCAGAAAAATGCATATTTTATTAAACATCCGAGCTGTTGGATGCATGAAAAGGCTTTGAGCAACCAATAGAAACGGAGGATCGCGAATGTTCTGCTTGAACCTGTTGATCTCTGTGGGTTAAGCGTTTAGGGTAGGGTCTGCGTTTCTGTGTAGGAGGGAGAAGGAGAGAACAGAGGCAGCGGTCGGGTTCGCGCGTCACCCGAGGCTGGTTTTCCGCCTCTTGCCTTCTGGCCCGGCATGGGCGACTGGCGCTTCAGGCCGCCAACATGGCGTGGGCGCCAGTGCTCCTGCGACCCTGGTCCAGCAGGGGGGATGGGGACTACCTGGCTGCCCACGAGGCAGTCCTCGGGGTTTGGATCGAGCCCTGGGGCAACGTGGGGCGCTTAGGGATGCGGCTCCCTGCGCCGCACAGCAGCGGGTCCTGTTCTCCCGCTGCTATCCTTCGGTCCAATTGTTCCTAAATTAGACCAGCAAGTTTGCGGGAGGCAGAGAGCCAGCGGCGGTGAGAGCTGGCCTGAGAACAGGCCAACCCTCTGGGAATGGCCAGTGTGGGAGGCCTGTGGGTGGCCTTGCCCCGTTCTTCTGCACAGACAGCTCTCGGTGAGAGGCCCGGCGCGGCGCTTTTGATATTTGTGAGTGCTTGGGACTGAGTGAGTGCCAGAGAGGGTGAGTGGAAAGCATTTAGTGTGTGCTGGAGAAGGCAGGGGACCGTGGGATAGAGAGCTAGTAGTGAGCTGAGGCCACAGTTGCGGAAGAGGTGGGTAGGTGAATGCCCATCTTGCGCCCGGGCGGCCTCCCAGACTTGACCTTTGCGCGAGTCCAGAATCTTTTTCCTCTGGGCTGTGTTAGGACTTGGACCAAGATTCTGGAAGGGGGAAAGAAGAATTTTCTATTCTTATTTGAGACAAATCTGGTAACAGGATTTGCTGTGCTGTTTTTATCCGTGTGTATGGATGTGTGTGTGCGCGCGCGCGTGTTGGTGTGTGTGCGTGGACGCACGTGTGGCCCCGTCCGTGGTGCTTCCTTCAGTGTCCCCGGAGCTGAAGGATCGCAAAGAGGATGCGAAAGGGATGGAGGACGAAGGCCAGACCAAAATCAAACAGAGGCGAAGTCGGACCAATTTCACCCTGGAACAACTCAACGAGCTGGAGAGGCTTTTTGACGAGACCCACTATCCGGATGCCTTCATGCGCGAGGAACTGAGCCAGCGGCTGGGGCTGTCGGAGGCCCGAGTGCAGGTACCCAGCTGCAAGGTCTAGGGCCCAGGGAGCAGAGAGGGAATACGCCTGGGGTTGGAGAGGCTCGTTGGGGATACACGCTGAGGGTGCCGGTTCAAGTGTCTGGTGTAAGGTGAGAAGGAAACGGGTATCTTTACTAGAGATCTTATTTTCCAAAGTAAATCTTAGTCCTAAGCCCCCCCCCTTTCCCATCCCAACATATGTTCCCAGCAGAAGAAAGCTGTGCTGGGCTTGCTCCCAGAGTTTCTATAAACCACACCCCCCTCGCCTCGCGCTGGCTTTAATGTGGTTTAATCCTAATGGGCCTACTTTTATAAGGCTTAAAAAAATATCCCACAGAAAACGTTTTATCTATGGATGCCTTAAAAGTTACAACGAGTATTTTGCTCGCCTGAGTTGGGTTTCGTTCAAGTCTGCTCCGGGGTCTAGGTTTGCCAAGCGGATATGCCAATTATGTTTATAGAAGTACAGACTATAAAGAAAATTAGCAACTGTTAAGTGCTAAATTTACAGTCTGCTGTTAGCAGTCGATCTGAAACTATGTGTGAAACAGCAGAGAAATAAACGCATTTTGGCCATTCTTTCTTTGTTCGCTTAACCAAAGCAAGGAACCTGAATCTACAGTAACTCAATTTTAAAACAACGCACGTATCTTGATATTGGTGTTTCCAAAGCCTGACCCCCAGCAAGATCCTGTGAAGTTAGGAGTGGAGATTTTCTTTATTGATTGTGGAGGTGAATGTAATAGCAAAAGTGGTCAAAGGGTAAAATTATATGTGTATATATATATATATATATCCTTCTAGCTTTGTGGCAAACAAATTTAAATGTTTCAGATTGTATTTCCGCTCATATAAAATAGGAGAAAATGATGGTCATTATTTGTTTGAACACATGGAGCAGTTTTAGGCCGAACATCTGCAGCTGTTACAAAGTATCACTGTAACAGATACTCCCCGGGTCTCTGGGCGCAGAGACCACCATCTGTAGCGAACTATGCACAATTCTTATGGGGCTTCCCCAATCTTGTAATAGGATCAGGAAAAAACCAGAGCAGTCACGTTGAAGGGGAAAAGTAATAATAGGCCGCCTTGGTCATCACAGCGTCAGCAGGGCCTTCCTTTTTAAGCCTCTCTTGCTTTGCTCTGTGCACTGAGATCTCCAGAGGCTCAGCAACCCTTTAAAAACATGATGATAATTATTACAGTATGATTATTAGTATCTCAATTTCAACTCTTCTAGGGGAAAAAAGAGGCAAGAAGCCTCAGGCCATGTGAATTACACAAAGGATGCCACCCTGGCATGAAATCCACCCTTCTATTATAGTAAATAGCAGGGGAATTTTTGAAGATTTACATTGACTATGACACTTGACTTCAAAAACATACCAGTAAAAGCTCTGAAGCAATATTTTACTTTCATGGGTTTTAAAAAACATTAATTTGTGAATCAATCAATATGCTGTATCATTCAAACTAGAGTGTAAAAACAAGCTTTAATTTTTAAAAACCTGTCATACTGTCTGTAAAAGGTGGCAAGTTTATTTAAGAAGTTAACACCCAGGAAAAGATAGTATCTAGGGGTGAATTGATTCATACCCCATACCCCTTTTTCAGAGTGCTCTTCTTTTTTTCTCTTAAGAAGTGAACTTTATTATTATTCTTTGCTCTTTTCATACATTTATTTAAGTTTTAGCGCTATTTTCTAGATGTTTCCCTACTATCCTAACTGCAAGCAGTGGCTTTTTCTATAGAAGCAAATTAGATTATCATGATAATAGCAGACAATTATTCTGGTACTGTGTTACACTCTGCTGCACAGAGGAACAGAGAAATTCTAAACTTCTTTGTAGTGAGGCTTTTATGACACTAATTACCTTTCCCCCACCCTTAAAACTCTCCCCCCTCCAAGAGTCATTATTTGCTTTGGTGTTGGTTTTTCTTTAAGATGAACTAATTAATATTACAGGCTATTAATGAGCACATTCTTCTCAGGTCTTAACTGGGCAAACATCTAAATCCATTATGATGTTGGTATCAGGTACCAGGGAGAGTTTTAGGCCTTGAGGACTCTGTTATAGGAAAAGATAAAACCAGGACTAATAGTAATCTCTCAAGAAACAATTTATCTGGAAAAGTCTATTAAATTTATCTTTCTATTTTTGTAGTTCATTTACATTTTTAACTTTGGAAATTGAGACTGTTTTGTATAATTCAAAGATTGCTTGCTATGTCTCCCAATCCTTGCCTAAAATACTATTCTTTTCTGTTTGTACTCTTATAATTTTAAAGAAAATTTTGAGTGGTAACATGTAGGTTTTATATTTTTCCTCTTAAACTTGTAGGTTTGGTTTCAAAATCGAAGAGCTAAATGTAGAAAACAAGAAAATCAACTCCATAAAGGTATGCTTCTCATATAGGAACATTTTATATTTTAAGTAAAAAGAGAGGTGGAGAAAATTGTTATTACAAAGACAGAAAAAAAAATATCAAAGATAACAGTTGTCCTTGATTTAAGAATCTTGTCCAAAGGCAGTTAATGAGAGTCTTAAACTCTGAGAGTCAATTACCTTTATTCTAATTATGGCAGCAGTTTAGAAAGATAGCAGTCCAATTCCAAAGAAATTAGTTCTATCTTGTACCATTTGGAATCCTGGAAAACAATGCTGGAAATGTTAATCTTAGATTATTGTGTTTTGTTTTCCTATTCTTTACAGGTGTCCTCATTGGGGCTGCCAGTCAGTTTGAAGCTTGTAGAGTCGCACCCTATGTCAATGTAGGTGCTTTAAGGATGCCATTTCAGCAGGTAAGTACAGCCTAATTTCAAGTTGTTTTTAAATGTAAAAACATGTTTGTTTGCTTGAACTGTTGAACATTCCCTGTCTTTAAGCCCAGATGTTGGTGTCTGCAGTTGGAGAATCGATTTTGAGATGATATAGTAGAACCACTCCCCTTTAAAAACCTATACAGTGTCAAGAACCTGAATGCTTAGTCCTTTCTGTCCTCAGGGGAACCTCCAGGGGCCTGAGGGCAGTAACTGGTTCTTTAAAAATGCGCTAAAGATTGCACTTGGGGTAAGGAAGGAAAAGCCTTTTGATTAAGATTTTGTCAAATCCAATACAGAGGTTAGTCCTAAGGTATTTCTAAGACAACCCTCTAAATATTTTCCTAGATATTTTGTAACCCTTAGTCACATTAAATGTCTCTGACAGAAGAAAAATAAATACAAGAACTCCTAACTCAGACTTGTTTAAGAGCTATCTCTGAAAACAAGCTTTATCTCTGCTAGATAGCGAAGTCTTGGTCTTCCTAAAGCCACCCTGCCTCTGCAATCCCTTTCTTAGTCGAAAAGAAACTTTTAAGAGTACATTTTAAAAGGACAGCCTGCAGCAATGATTTAATCCTAGGAAATCTCAGTGCTCTGAACTCCCTGCTCTCCAAGCCTGGGGGCGAATACCTTTCCCAACCAGCAACTGACCTACCCCACCCTCAACCACGCAGGCCCCTTTCTTGGCATGACTATGATGTCATGAATTAGCTCTCAGCCACCAGCCCCCTGGACTGAGGAGACACCTGGATGTGCCCTTGTATTGAGAGTTAGTGTTAGGGAGATCTTAGCTCTCATGGTGCCATGGGACTCTGGCATCCTGATGCTGGGCTTTTGAAACAAGAGAGTGACTGGAGAAAGAGGGATGGGGGACCTTAAAAGGTGACTCATACTCAGAAAGTGATCCTGGGCCAGTAGCAGCACCATCTGGGAGATAATTAGAAATTCAGAACCTCAGGCTCCTACCTAGTCCTTATGAATCAGAATCTGCATTTTAACAAGATCCCCAGTTAATTCTGTGGCAGTGAAGTTTAGAAGTAGTGACACACAGTTGTGCCAGTTGTGAAGATGCAATGACTTCCCTAAGTGACATGAAAAAGTTTTGTAGTTTGCTTGTACTTCGGTGCTTTAGGAATGGGGTAAGAGGTGTAGAGCAGCAGCAGGAGATGAGGGTAATGGCCCTCACCCCCAGTCTTTCCAATATACCATTTCAGCCCGGCTCCCGATTGAGCAGTCACATTCCTGCAGACAGAGGTCCCGGGGGTCCAGGGAAATAAGGCCAGGTTGAGTGGGTCCAGGGAGCACTGGGGTATCCGTGTGACACTCCAGATTCAGCAACAGGCTGAGAAGGTCACTGTCGGAATAAGATGTACAGTCAAACGCCCCCTCCCCATCCCCTATCCCAACCCAATCTTCCCCAGCCACGCTGGACGCCGTTAATGCTCTGTTTCTATTCTGTTGTCACCCTAGGATAGTCATTGCAACGTGACGCCCTTGTCCTTTCAGGTTCAGGCGCAGCTGCAGCTGGACAGCGCTGTGGCGCACGCGCACCACCACCTGCACCCACACCTGGCCGCGCACGCGCCATACATGATGTTCCCAGCGCCGCCCTTCGGACTGCCGCTTGCCACGCTGGCCGCGGACTCGGCCTCCGCCGCCTCGGTTGTGGCAGCTGCCGCCGCCGCCAAGACTACCAGCAAGAACTCCAGCATCGCCGATCTCAGACTGAAAGCCAAAAAGCACGCGGCCGCCCTGGGTCTGTGACACCTACGCCAGCGCCAACGTCGCGCCTCCCGCGCGGCGCTCAGCCTGCACGCTCTCTGCGCCCCGCGCTTCGCCGCTACCCTCTTCCGACCTCCGGAGCCCGCCCTCTTTCCGCTCCTTATCCCCTTTCGCATCCCGGACTTGGAGGGCTGGACTCCACGCGGGACCTGGGATCCCACCAGGCGCACCAGCTCAGTGGCTCCTGCCCGCTTTCCTACCCAAGGCCCTAGAATTCGGTTTTGTAGGAGCGGGTCGGGGAAGTCTGGAGAGAGACTGGACAAGGGAGTGCCGGAACCGCGGAGTGTGCTCACGAGAAGGCTGCAACGGTGGACTCTTGCATAGAAATAAAATCTTGTTAACAATAAAAAATGAGCAAAAACATTTTAAAAAATAGAAAAGACAAGCCAGAGAGAAAAAGAGAAAGGGAACTTATTTCTTATTGTTATTTGGCAGAAGCTGAAATCGGAGAACGACAAGGAGTTATTAAAGTATTTTATACATTTAAAAATATGGAAAAATAACCAGGACGAATCTCGAGAGAATGAGGGCGGGTGGGGGTGGGGGTTACCAACGTAAGTGTATGTGTTTTTTTTTAATGGGCTAAGAAGGCAAAACAGAAGGAAGAGGTATACTTATTTAAAAAACTAAGATAAAAAAGTGCGCAGCTGGGAAGTTCACAGGTTTTGAAACTGACCTTTTTTTCTGCGAAGTTCACGTTAATATGAGAAATTTGATAAGAGAGGCGGGCCTCCTTTTACGTTGAATCAGATGCTTTGAGTTTAAACCCACCTTGTATTGGAAAAGCAAGAAGAGGGAAGACAGTGTAAAATCAAGGAGAGAAAAAAGAATATTAATACAAAAAATATGCCAGAGACAATTTCTCTGAGAAATTATTATGGCAGAACTGTCTGGACTGCTGACACTAAATTCTGGTTTGCATGTTATTTGTATTCCATTGATGGTGTCTCCCCTTTCCCCTTTTAATCACGTGTACTCACTCCATTTTCATCTTCAGTGTGAAAAACAATACCAAAAGCGTCTGGAAATTGATATATATCCACATATATTTTTTGCCCTGTCTCTGATCCTGGGGAACAAAAGAAAAAAGTCGGAAAGAGAAAACATTTACACTCTGTCCCAAGAAGATAGAAGCAGGCAGAAAATACGGGGAAAGGAAAAAGAAAAGACAACCAAATGAAATAATGGAGGTACAGCGCCTCGCATGGTGCTCGACACTTAGTAGGCGTGCAATGTTAGTTCCCGCCACTCCCCTTTTCTTGTATTCCCTCTTGCTGGTTTCCTCAAGTCCTGTTTGAGGACTGTGCTTTATTTTCCCCTCTCTATCCCGTCAAATTCACCTTAAACGACACCCAGCTAGATACAGGCACTAGGTTTGTATAAAATATGTTGATATACACGAACAAAGTTTTATTTTGGCTATAATGTGTGAACTGATGGTTGACTTTGAACATTTGCATTTTATCTCACAAAGGTGTATCTTTTCAAGTAATTTTTTTTTTTTTTTTTTTTTGCTGTTTCAATTCATGTAGCTATTTAAACTGGGATACCCTGGACTAAGCAATCTGTATCCCAATTCGCTAGTAAGCCCCCTTAGTTTTTTTTTTTTCCTTCTAATTTACAAGAAAGAGGAAAAGCTCTTCTAACTGAACTTTGGTATGTAGTTGAGCTTTGTAACTATTTGTTCTCCATGAAAACAAAATTATTTATATTTGCCATATTTTTTCTAGTGTATTAAGTTATTTTAAACAAAAGATGTTATCTCATGGCGTGTTGTCAGTACAAAATGTTTCGGCTTCAACTCTGTTAAACCTTTTAAATAAGTGCCAAGTTATTAATTGAAGACACTTTGCGATCAATTGAATGAAAATAGTATTGTTTCATTTGATGGAGTTCGCGTCATCTTTGTTCCTGTTACTATTAAAATATCTGGGATAGTCTTTCCCTCTTCCTTTTTGATGAATGTGTACCTTCTATCCATCTATCTCTCTAATATGCCAACTTGGAAAAGCCCGTGGCTCTGCTATTACGTACCCCATTCAAGGGGCAATAATAAGGGTGACTGCGACAGTGGCTCTCTAACGCCGAGTGCGTCTTCCAACGTCCCCACCTTTTTATCCACCTGGGATAGAAACTGATTATACCAAACCGATGAAGGAACACATAATAAGTAACATAGGATACAATAACATCTTTCGCTCAAACGGACTATCATTCTTCATTCTGCTATACTTTCGCCCTTGAAGTTTATTTGGGGACATTTTGGGAGGACAGAAAGGGGATCACTTGGTGCGAAATCTTCCCGGGTTTGGTAGGGCATAATCCACAGTGGGTCCCAGGTCGCTGACCCTCTCTGGAGCGGGTCAGGTGCAGGCTTGGGAGCGGGCGAAGAGCCGCGGGGCGGGAGTGTGGGGGGCAGTGTGGAGGTTGGACCCCTACCTCTCTTGTTTTAGCACTTTGGCCCAAGCAGCTTCTTCATTGGTTCATTTGAGGAGGTGGAAGCCAGGACGGTGTTTAGGAAAAACCCAGTCTTAACTGTCCTCAGAATATCAAGGAGCTTTCCCTCCCACTTGGCCCTTTTCTTCTGGAAAAAAAATCCCACCAGTAAAGCCCAAAGGTGCTGCCTGCCTGATTTGGCGGCGGGGGTTGGGTAGAGACCGTGGGGATCCGACCCTGGCCGGGTCTGAGACCGGACCTTCCCTTCCCGCTCAGGCTCTTGGGACGCGGGGACACTCCGCGAAGACTGGGGGTGTCCCGAGCGTCCTCTGTGCCCCCCACCCTCGGGCTGGCGGGCTCGTAGAGACCCCGACGAAGCCCCGCATCCTCCAGCAGTGTTCCCTGCCGCCCCCGCCCGGCCCTTGTCCGGGTCTGAGCTCGCGTGCAAAGCTGTTCCTCAGCCTAGACGTTGCGATAGGTTTATATCTTTCTTTTAACTTTCAAAGGCCATTGAACAGGACTTCGCCGTGTTCAGCACTCAGGTCTAGCGGGTCTCTCGGTTGATGAAGGTCTCTGTAGTTTTTATAATAAACATCTGCCTGGGGGGCGTGATGCGCCCTGAAGCGGCCGCGCAGCCCTGCTCGGCCCCCTGGCCTCGGGCGAGCTCGGTCGGCGCGGGAGCCGGGGTGGGTACCCCGCAGGGTCCGAGCCCCATCCCAACCCAGCCCCCGTGCGCGTTCCGACACCTCCCCGGCTCCTCGGGGCAGGCTGCAGGTCATAGGAGGGAAACCCGGGGCAGGGAGATGGCGCTTCCTCCCTGGCCCAACGTGTCCCCGCGGGCGCGCTCGTGGGAAGCCCGAGGTCAGAGGACCGTGCGTGCGGGCCCAGCGCGCGGAGGCGCCGCATCAGGACAGGGCGCCGCGACGAGGCCTGGGTGGGCCTGGAACGCCCGGGCCGCAGGAGCCGAGTGGGCCAAGCGCGGAGCCGCGCAGGGGTCGGGCCCGGGCCTGGGCGGGGGCGCCGCAGGCGGAGCGGCCCGCGGAGGCAGCCGGGGCGGGCGAGCAAGGTCGAAGTTTCCTGGCCGGGTCGTGGGTACTCGGGCCGGGTCGTGGGTACTCGGGCCGGGCGCGGCCTGTGGGCCCAGCGCCGCAGGGCGCTCGGCGGCGCCCTCGCCTCCTCCCGCGTCCGCTCCCCCGAGACTCACGGAGGGGCAGAGGCCACTTTCCCTGAGCCTGTGGGGCCTTGTCCTTCGGGTCCAGGCTCCCACACTCGCTCACGCCGGGCTCGCTTTCCCGGAGCGCCCGGGGCCAAACTCTCCGCAGACGCCTCGGTGTGTGAAAAATAAGTCCAAACTCCAAGTTCACCAAACCATCCTAGGATGTCCGAGGAAATCTTCCCTTTAAATTTAATTAAGGTTCAACATGCACGTTCTTTTGGTCGCAAACTCAATAATCCTAATAAATAATGAATAAAGGATTCCCATCCCCACCCCCTCAATCTTCCGGAACGTGCAAAGCCTTCCCCGAGTTACAAAATCCTTGACAGGGGAAAACTGAGTTAAAAGAGATTATTCAAGACATCAGTAGTATTAAGGAGCCTATGATACAAGAGGTCCAGTAAGATAGGAGGCCTTTGCTTGGAGCTGAATTGATATACATCTATTTTGAGTTTTTCCCCAGATTTATAACTTTTTAGATCCTCAGATGGTAATACTTTAGTATAATGCAATGCTCAAGTTTCGGAACTATTTTGATTTCTGAAAAATGTCTTTTTGGCTTTAGCGACATAGGATCCTGTTTTTTCTTCACAAATCAGTTTACATCACAGATTGCAAACATTTGCAATAAGATCTCAAGATTGTTTATTTTACATAACCTCAACCACTTGACTATGTTAAACACCAGTACAGAAAGTCTGTGAAATCAGTTTAATGTGTGTGAGGGAATTAAAGGATCACTCCTTTTCATCACATAAATAAAGCATGTAAGATTGTTTTGATTGTCAGCCTCCCAATTTTTAAACGGTCTTACAATTGACAATTAATTTTAGAGTCATTCTGTGCAAAAATAATTACTAAAGTTATTTCCTCCTTTAATTAAATGTTTCTGGGCAGAAGAAAATGGTATTCTACATAGGCAAGTGGCTGATTATTTTTAATATTATATTATTTTAATTCAAATGTAAATAAAAGTCTGCAAATTCCAATGGGGAAAAAGACCTAAAATGGTTTCTTAATGTGCCATTAGAACAGTTAGCCAAAATGCATTAAAGCAACATCACAAACCCAGAAACAATAAATATGTCATTCTAATGAGAGTGTTAACTTATGGATAATTTATTTAAGGTAGTTTTTACATTTCACATGGAATGTCTTATTATGACCTGCCTGACTACTGTGATGCTTGTTCTTCAAAATCTAATTTATATAGGCTTTGGATATGCATAATTCATAACTCCTGTTGATATATGTATACACACCCCGAATTTTAAATCTTTACAATATGTTTGGATGTTTACTAGCATGTTTTCAAGGCGACTGAAATAAAAACATAAGGAGTGTTAAATATCGTATTGAAAGAAAGTACTTGCCCTGCCCTGTATCTGATGAAAAAGTAGTTGAAAATGAAAAAATTTAAAAAGATTAGATAATTTTCAAACTCAAGTATAAACACAAATATTTCAGACAAAAACATTCTTGTATAAGAAATCCCCAAGAAAGACTTACAAATGCGAATGGATAACACTTCTGATGCCTAGACAATCCTTTTTTGTCTCTAATTCATGAAACAAAAAATCCTCAAGTCTTGGGGTATTTTGTTTTGGCTATCTTATGTGTCAGTCAAGGTAACCATTGCATATGCCTTCACTACAGGAAAATTTAGTATAGTACTTACATGGAGTTCTATTGGCATGAGGAAAGAGGTTTTAGAATATAATCAAATAAATCACACAGGGAGGAGTAAATACACTTTCTTTTTTTCTTGTTGAACGACTGTTCACATTCCTGAGTAAGAATCTTTGCAGACTTTTAGTCAAGCAGAATAGTGCATGGTTAAGAGCACACACTCTGGAGTTATG